TCATCGGGTACAAGAATCTCCACAAGTGCGAAAAGGGTATGATGAAGATCGTCCTATTTGTACGTCAGTGGGTTCTTTTTGTAGATGAATATCAAGGCCATCATTAGCAGGTTATTGAATTGTCGCAAAGAACTACCTAAGGGTCAACTATCGCAGCCAGAAGATCGAATTTTAGCTCAAGGTAAGCACTGAGTAGATGGATGGGGGAAATACAGAGTTGCTGATAAACAGCGGCAGCCATAAGTAGAACGCGAAGCTAGGACGTCGTATATTGTTGAAGGTTCGCCGATGTCGCCTGTATTTCTGCCATTAGAAATAGTGGGATTTGCTTTGGGTGTAAACCAAGTTCGTCACCTTATGGCTGAACTGGCTCCTGAGGCTATCCAGTGAGCAACAGTAGTTAGTCAGCGTTGAATATTCCTCGAACGTTTTCTTCAGACCAAAGGATCTTCAATCCTTCCTTCCTGCAAGACCATCGGTGACCTTCAGCACGATGTCCATAAGAGCCCGCACTAAATGTGTGCCGAGATAGCCCGTTATCGATATACATGTCTACTCAAGCTCGAAAATCCGAACGAGAAGTTAGAACCTCTCCAAGTTCTAACTCCTTATCTATCCCGCCTATTGTACCTATTGATTGTTTTTGGCTTTTTCTGCCTGGCAAATGTGCGCACCAATTAGCAGATATATATCAGTGAATGGTAATTCTTGCGTTTCCCTATAAAGGATGCCATCGTGTCAGGTTTCTGTTTCATGTGCGAAGACCGGACACTTTCTAAAGGATTAGGTAGGTGTTCATGCAGAAATGACAGTTAGAGTATGAATATCATAATTAACCACGAGGATAGTGGTGAAAATAAATGACCTACGTAGTACTGTGACCGCCCGGAGTTGCCAGCCCATAATATCGGGATGGCAAAAGCCAAGAATATTTAGCCCCCTAATAGTTATAGACCTGTAACCATTATTAAATCTGCTGCTGGATATCTTAGCGGATAATAAGCCTTTTAGTTCATTATAAGGAACCAGACCCTAATGATACGCCGGCCGGTCACTTGATGTCAGCGTGCCTCCATACCTGTCAATGAGGAGCTTAAATGTCGTGAAAGAGCATTGTGGGTGGGGTGGATTGTAGTCCGAGCGGAACAATCACTTAGCCCTACTTCGTAAGCTACTTCAGCATATGCGAACAAGATCTCCTCGAAATGAGCCGGTCATTTCGGTGGTCTGTGCGTGCGCACACACTGGGTTATGAAAGGCCACTCATCCCCTAGCACCAAATAGTCACTCTTTGGCTTTGTCTGCTAGCAGTAGAACATATGGTATATCGATCGATCTGTAATCCTGCTCTTCTCTTAAGCGTTAGGCGTGGTCGGGCTTGAAGAACTTCTGATCGTCTCATCACTTTCCGTTTCCTTAATCCCACCCAGCTCATCACGCCCTGGCTGGCGATGGGGAAATAAAGTATGCGCTTGCGGATCTACTGCAGGTACCAACTCAAGGAACTCTCTTATCGTGACATTAGTGAATGCGGCTCGAAGCTACAGACTAAAAGAGACCGCCCGGATAAGGGATTAGTGACTGAAACTCTGTGTTATACGAGGATCAATCTCCGTCAAACCTTGAATTATGCAGACATACGCTCAATCACATAAGTGAAACCTGCCCATTGTATGCACTCGCACGGCAAATCAGCATGTGTTGAAAGATCGCATGTGTCTGCGGGTCTTCCATTTTAGGACAGTAATAATGGGGCCTCTGTAGTCAAACGAGGCGGGCTGGATCTTGCATATAACGGCTCTAGTGCCATGAACCCCAATGTAGTTGCGTTTGTGCTCACCAGACTGATCTCTGCCAGATAATATGTTCTCTTTCTTGACCGGGGGTTGCTATTTGAATGCAATAGCTACCGATTATATATACCTTTTACCAGTTTTACAGAATACCAACTTTGAAAATCCAGCACGCTAAAGGGAAGGGGGTCTTACCAATCAACCAAAGCGGTGACCACGATACTGGAAATAGGAAAACAGTAAGAAGGGAAAGGGGAAGAAAAAGAAGAAAAAGAAGAACGGCAACATTTTCATGTATAATTATTTCATTCAAAACTGGCAGAATCCTGCCAGCCTGATGAATTCTCCTATACAGCTTGTCCTTTTACTTTCACTCTTTCTTTCTTTCTTTTGGTACCCTGACTATCCTCACAATCTGCCCAGAGAATTGAAGGATGGAGATAGATAGATAAGAATGTATCATTGGGGCACAAAATATCTTAAGATCTGCGCAGACGGGGACCCTGGTAATCGGTTGCGCCATTGTTAATGGCAACTATTCTCATAACTACTTGAAGTAATTACAGGGAACAGTTAGTAAGCGGATACCGGTGTTTAGGTTGGATCACTGTTATTCACAAAACCCGAGATTTGCTGTCTTTATTGGATCTGTTGTTAGTAATCTAGTAAGTGGTTTCAGCTGTCTATGATTGAGGTATAATAATTACTGTGGCCTGATTGGTTGGTATACAGGGTCTTTACTTTATCCGCAGCTCCACCATTGAGACTCGGGATGTGGACAAAATACCAGAACAACAAGCCGAGCGGAGCCTGCATCTTGGGTTATCTCCGCTGAGTAATGCACAGACAATTCACTCTTTCACCAACTGTGCGGTCTATATAAAATCATGGTGAACCCTGGTCTTACACCATTGAAAAATAAAACCTACGAGGAAGCCACGATGCCTCAGGCGGTTCAACTGACGTGGACCGATATGGCCAGTATGTACAAACACTTAATGGAGCAGGTGGCAGAAGCCCCCGCATCCAAAGGGCTCGGTATTATTTGTACAGCCGCCGTAGCCACCCTAATCACTGTCGCCTTCATCAAGCGCTTATATTATCGCAACTGGCATCCGTTGTCTCGCTTTCGTGGTCCTCCCGAGGCTGCTTCATCGCGACATTGGATCTACAGAGTGACCGACCGTGGCTTTCCCGAGGAGGACCTCGAAAAGCTTCACCAGAAGTATCGTGAGTTGCACCTAATCTTCGCTGCCTTTCACGATAATGCATGAACTTTGGGAGTTAGGTATGCTAAGTCGGAATATCTCTAATCTCGGATAGAAACGCAAGCGCTACGCATTGGTCCTAACGAGCTACATATTACCGATGTTCACAAGTACAAGGTCATATATAGTCAAAGCAAGCCGTTCCCGAAGCATGCAGAGTTCTATGAGGCTTTCAACACACCCCATACAGTCTTTACCGAGATCGATGAAGGAATGCATAAAGAGCGTCGACGATTACTGAATCCCTTCTTCTCCCGAGCAGGTGTCTTCAAACTCGAACCCATCATCCATGAGAAGGCGAAGATTTTGATGAATAAGATCCGGCGACTTGAGAATAGTCACACTGTAAATGTGTATGATGCTTTCAGGTAAGTGTCATTATATAGCTTTTCTGGTCGGAATTCTACGAGGGCATACTTATCCCAAATAACCGAGGACATGGGCGCGGCTGACACATCGGAAACGGCAGATGCCTTACAACTGAGGTCATTATGGAGTTCGCCTTTGCGAAATCAGCAAACATGCTAGAAGAGAGCGAAACTACTTTTGAGTCTTGGTTTTTAGTCGCCTTTGACGCCGTTGCGCGAAGCATATGGAAGATGCAGGAGTGGCCAATCGCTCGGAAAGCCTTGGGGGTTGTCCCCATGAATGTCATTGGACTGGTGGATCCCAATATCGTCAATGTCCTCAAAATGTTAAAGGTAGGTCCCGAGCTAGTATATTTTTGCCAGTTAACCATTGTATGCTAATGCCCTGGTCTTGTTTACTTAGTTTGCCAAAAGCTGTCTCCAACACTATGAGGTGCACGGAAATTCAACGACTCATCCTGTTGTATTCGAAAATCTATCTTCCCTGCCGCACGACCACAAGGTCACCGAGGCAGTTGACATCCTGATTGCAGGAGCTGATACGACAGCATCAACTCTGACTGCTGGCTTTATACATATTCTCTCGAATCCAGCTATCTATTCCAAATTAGTCGATGCTCTTCGAGGAGTGGACATCAGCGTGGATGATCCTTCAGCGGCTCGACTTCAGGAACTAGAAAAGATTCCTTACTTGGTACGTATAGACACCCCGAACACACAAATTATTCGCCTCGCTAACCGTCCGTTAGACTGCCTGTGTGAAAGAGTCTCTCAGAATCGCCATGCCGGTGCCTGGCCGCCTACCGAGAATCGTTCCCCAAGACCTCGCTGAGCCATTCGTTGTTGACGGACTGGTCATCCCGCCCGGTGTAAGTCTGGTACCAGATGATTAAATGCACATTATCTTATTGAATTTCTGCAGACTGTTGTCTCCATGTCAACATACACAATGCATACCAACGAAGAGGTTTGGGGTCCCGACGCCCGCGCCTTCAATCCCGACCGTTGGCTTCAGCCGGGAGCGAAATCGCTGGAGCAGTATCTTTGTACATTCTCCAAGGGCGCTCGAATGTGCATTGGTCAAAAGTATGTTCTCCTGTTCGCTCCCAACTAATACCTTATGCGATGGCACTAATGTCTGATGTATAGTGTCGCATACGCCGAGGTCACAATTGTCATGGCATACTTATTCAGAAACTTTGATATCCGGCTCCTGCCTGATTTCCGTCCACCCGAGAGAAAGGATCTGTTTACCATGGAGTACTTGAAACCTGGTTTACCTTTGAAGTTCTCCAGTGTAGAAGCAAGGTAGTATTGAAGCGACCCAAATGAATGAATTCCGTCCCGCCGTGAGGATCAGATTGTGAGTGTGAGTTGAGGATCAGATATAGGCGGTCTGGACAGCTAAACAAACTGCAGAGTAACACACTCTTGTACATACATAACTAGTTATTCCTATACAACTCCCAATTTCCCACCCCAACCTTAGTTAACCTATTGATACATGTGGTATTCGAAGAGCGCCATGAAGAAAGAATTTTCCTGCATGTACACGGGCCACTCGATCCCAGTTAAATACCAGAATCATCCTCCTCAATGCTGTTAGCAGCTGCATATTTATCCCAGGCATCACAGTTCTTCTCGAGTGCGGAAGTATCAATCATCGGCTCGAGCTGGGACATGCTTTCCACGAATTGCATGGCGAAACCCTCCGATTGGTGCCAGCCAATATGGCAATGTAGCAGCCACGCGCCAGGGTTATCAGTCTTGAATGCGATTACCAGATAGCCGAGGGCGGGGAGCATGGCCGTGTCGCGACGGGGTGGGTTGTAGGTGTTCAGAGTTGTGTTCGACGTGTAGCTTCCATCGCCCTGGGCGAGGATGAAGAAGTCGTGGCCCTGTGAGTGATCATATTAGCAACGGGTGTAAAGTAAACAGCTTTGACTTGGGTCAAGAAAACATACATGAAGGTGAATAGGATGAGGAACATTAATGGTCATTTCAATGTCGACAATCACCCACTTGCCGTTGCCTTCGACCTCAACAACGTGGGATGTGTTAGTCCATGAAGTGTTGCCGTTAGCGATCTGGAGCAGGGTCGGGTTGTCCCATTCTGCCTTGAACGTGGTCGGGCCCATGTACCACTTGTACAAGCCTGCACTGTTCATGATGACGTTCGCCTCGTTGTGGCTTCTGAAGCCGACGCCAGACGCGTCGATAGCAACCACCGGCACCATGCTACTCAACGGCTCGTCATAGCAGCTGTCGGTGTAGTTGTATGCTGTTGTTGTGGGAGTCGCCACAACAGTATTAGGCTGCTCGTAGTGGAAGATTCCTTTGATGTCGGTATTTTCAATCTCGGCACAGGCCTCCTGGGGAATGGCGCGCATCCAGAAGTCGGACCCGGCGTGGGCTTGGTTCGCCGTGACGATTACATCGTACCGTTGTCCTGCGGGTCTTAATAAGTTTCTCTTCGATTACTATGGAGCGTGATGACTTACCAACACCGATGTTAAGTGACGTCGTGTTGTAAGGCTCGATGGGGACGAAATCAGCCGCGATGACGGTCAAAGTGTGATCGTCGATCATGAATCGGAACAAATTGCTCATTCCACCGTTGACAAGTCGAAGGCGGTAAGACTGGCCAGCAGTCACATTCATGAGGAAGCGCTCGCCAACAGTTTCGTTGTTCTCCTTGACCCAAATGTTCGTTCCATTGATCAAAGCAGTAGTCATCTTGGGCTCGCCATCTGTTTCAGCAGTGGAATACATCTGGTCGGCCGTGCGGTGTGACCAGTCCATGAGCCAAAGCACGCCAGCGTCGACATCGTAGTTCGAACTGGCAGGTCCGTTGATCACAATTGCACCGTAGATGCCATCCCATGCTTGCAGAGCAAAGTGAGAGTGGTAGTAGGTTGTGCCGTACTGCGTAGCGCGCCATTCGTAAGTTACGGATCCTCCAGGAGGCGTGGGACATTGGGTAATCGAGTTTGTGCCATCTTGAGGGTTGGTGTGGTTTTGTCGGACACCGTGCCAATGGATGCTGGTTCCGTTGTTTTCCAGACCATTGTAGACATGAACTCGGACCCAGTCACCCCAATTGGCGTATATAGTAGGTCCTGGTGAGGTCCCGTTGATGGTCAGGACATCGCGAGGGACACCGTCCGGAGTGGCGGTGGTGTTTCCCAGCTCCAACCAATATTCGCGAACTACTCCGGTGTCCGGAGCTTCGGTATAGTAGTCGGTGTAGATGTCAAAATCGCACCACTGATCACGGGTTTGCGGTGTGTTGCCTGCACATGCTTGCGGAGAAGGAGAGGAAAGCCCGGCATAGGCGGTGCTGGCTGCGAGCCAGCCCGCTGCCAGGATGGTATGCAAATGCATTGAATTGAAGGACAGAGTATGGAAGAGATGCAAATGACTGATCGGAATGGAAAAGAGCGAATGAGATGTGGATTGACAGAGTTCAACGGCTCATGACAGCAGATTAAAATAAAGGATCGTCCTGTCTACCCCCTATCTCGTTCTAGACGAACGATGGAATATTCAGAACCTGCTCCATTTCCCGTTCCCGATAATTGTACCGGTGATCGGCACGCACGCTACCAACAGCATACATGCGCCATTTTTACCGCCATACGTCGTCCGCACAGACTCCGGTATTTACGAAGATGTCTGAATCAAGGACGAAGTGGACCTAGACATTGTTGAATTCAGCTAACCCCGAGACGAGATATTTCTGGGAAGGGAGTCAGGAGTGTAATACTGGGTTCGAGCGTCGAGTATACTTAGTCCGAAACGATGTCTGCAGAGTTGCGGAGTACCTTCTTCGGTGGACCCGGCAGGATTACGTAGACGGGAGATGCGGAGAATACGTACTATGTAGACTACCGGTTGCGACGCGCTCGGAGCTATTGAGGCTCGTTCAGAAAAACCCTGAGACTGAGCCCTCGCATGTGAGTTAACTGATTCAGTATAGTATCTGGTTGATGCCGAATCAGATTCAAGATCGATCATCTCGGTCTTGATCTTATCAAGCAGACCCGCTCCGACGTCGATCATTTCCCTTCGTATGATAGGCTTAACCTGGAAAGGAGCCACTTTGCGAAAATGTGGAACGTCCCACTGGTCCCTGTCGGCATTAAGCTGGCATCAAAACTGCCATCCGATATAGGCCGAGCTTGATTTCGCTAAATCCAGACGATGATTTGTTCCCTAACGTAACCGAAAATGGGGTGACCTTGCGAGTCCCACTCTACAAAAACTACGACCTCGGAGTTACTGGTATGCATGCCAAGACGTCTGGCTACGAGTTTAGATTATCACGTACAAAGTCGTTCACCATCAGAACCCTCATTTCATTCGGGTCTTTGGGGACGGGAGTGAAGTTAACCTAGTATACAAGACCGTCGGGACTTTGCGACATCCGGGACGCATCATGACACGGGAAGTAGTGGATGGAATAATTGTCTTTTGTAACAGTCTAATATATAGTCTAGTATTTAGAGGGTATTGATGATGGGTGACAGACCTACAGAAGTTGCAACGTTCAGTTTCAGTTTCTCCTGATATTTTTTTCAGTTTTCCCTATTGAGTATTGTTCTTCAAGTGCGTGATGAGATCTCACCATCTCTGGGCTGCGGCCCTTGCCCTGACGGGAACGGTTCAAGCCACCACATTGCAAGATGTGTGTACAGTTTCCTTCGCTCGAAACTCCTTACCGGACGACAGCGTATATCCTGGCGTCTCTATTGACAGGTCTTCTGTGAGTGCAGTGGCAGCCTACAACGTGTCGAGCACAGACCAAGTCTATTGGCCGGGCGCCACGTTCGACTACTGCAATGTGACCTTTGCCTACTCCCACTTGGGCCGGGATGACCGGGTGGTGGTTAGCTACTGGATGCCCGCTCCGTCGAAGTTTGCCAACCGTTACCTGTCGACGGGTGGCAGTGGATATGACATCACATTGGGAAGCACTTCCTTGCCCGGGGGTGTCATATACGGTGCTGTGGCGGGCACAACTGACGGTGGATTTGGTGGATTTGAGAATGGCTCGGACGATGTGTGGCTTCTAGCCAATGGCACCCTCAATTACGAAACGGTCTATATGTTCGGTTACCAGGCTATCCATGAACTGACCGTCATCGGGAAGGAGCTCACCAAGAAGTTCTTCAATATCTCCTCCATCTATTCTTATTATCAAGGTTGCTCTGAGGGTGGCCGTGATGGCTTCAGTCAGATCCAACGGTTTGCAGAGGACTTCGACGGGGCCGTGACAGGTGCCCCTGGCTTCCGGTTCACTTTCCAACAAATGCAGCACCTTTGGTCACCCGTTGTCGAGCAAACTTTGGACTACTACCCCCCTCCCTGTGAGCTTGAGAAGATTGTGAACGAAACAATCAAGGCTTGTGATGCCCTTGACGGCAAGAAGGATGGTGTTGTTTCGCGAACGGACCTCTGCAAGCTTCACTTCGACGCTAACAGCACGATCGGCGAACCGTACAGTTGTGGAGCTTCCTCTTTGACAACCTACAAGAGAAGAAAGCGATCGGAGACATATGCGCTCCCCGCCCAGAACGGCACTGTTTCTGCCCAAGGTGTGGAAGTCGCAAAAGAAATCATGCGGGGAATGCACGACACGAAGGGGAACCAAGTCTACTTCTCCTACCAGCCAAGTGCGGCTTTCTCCGACGCGGAGACCCACTACGACTACGATACCGGCTCTTGGACCCTCGATATTACCGAATCAAACAGCGAATGGGTGGAGAAATACATTAATCTCCTCAATGCCACTGAGATGCCTACGCTCAAGAACGTCACTTATGACAACCTGAAGGAATGGGTCCGCATCGGCTGGCAGAAATACGACGACACTCTTCAGGCAACTTACCCCGATCTGTCCCCCTACTCCGAAGCGGGCGGTAAGGTGCTTCACTACCATGGTGAATCTGATTACACTGTTCCCACTGCATCGTCTGTGCATTATTATGAGTCTGTTCGTCGTATTATGTATCCTGAAATGTCAACGAACGCAAGCTACGCCGCTTTGGGTGATTGGTATCGCCTTTTCCTTGTTCCCGGTGCGGCACACTGTGGCCCGGATGACTCCCAGCCCAATGGACCTTGGCCACAGAAGACGCTGGAGACTATGATCCGATGGGTTGAGGATGGAGTCTTCCCTGAAATGCTCAACGCAACGGTGCTGCAGGGTGAGCATGAAGGCGAAGAGCAGAAGCTCTGCGCATGGCCTCTTCGACCTCTGTGGAAAGACAATGGCACCACCATGGAGTGCGTGAATGATCCGGAGGGCATGAAGACTTGGGTCTATGACTTAAATGCTTTCAAGATGCCGGTGTATTAAAATGCTCAAGAGATAATTGAATCTGGATGTCCTTTCTTCTCCTGCATTCTGATCCCTCTTTTTCTTGATCACGCACGTTGACCAGTTATGCCAACTCCAGCCTGACTGAGACCTGTATACATAGTAATCGTGTATTATTGAGGCCAGTCGTACGCCTCCTTTTTGTCTGGAAACATGATTTACTGTGTCCTTATATTTTCTGAACCTGCTCTGGCAAGTTTTCTCTTCTTTTCTGTAAATCAAGTCAGATTCCTTCATTTGAATGTTTTCCTTTGTCCAATGTGAACTCATCCAGTAGCATAAGTACTTGGTATGTCATCAAAAAACACAGTGTCTTCAAGTCATAGTGAGTAGTAGGATCAAACTCCAATACGCCAGTGCACCATCGGATTTCTTTTGCACGTTGGCTGCGTGCCTATAGATTTATCTGTGGCACAATCTTTATCAGGGCTATAATTTCGAGCAGTAAATGACACCAAGGTATACCATCTCGGGAAGTATCGCACACTCCAGGAGACTGAATCGGTTCAGGAATACGAGACAGGCTTGTTTGTGGCTCGGCAGAGATACCCGCGACATCAGTAGCGATGCAACACAGTGACTAGTGTAATCTGAGCATAATCTCTGCAAGCGACTCTTCCCCGCAATATCCCCATGGAGATATTAAATCCGAGAATTTTGCCCAAAGGGTTGGACAGAGTGGGGCGCTAGCACAGCGCATAAGCATTAGTGTGCACCCTGCCCTTGTGGGCACTACTCTGTATGCAGAGGTAAGCCCATTTCCGGGGCCCCGAGTTTCGATGACTAGTACTTTCTTGTCAACTCATATACCGGATGTCGGGGGTGGTTGTTTTGGTTTGTCCGGTCCGCTTGGAAGACGTACCCTCAGATTGCTGGTTTTTCTGTTCGGTAAATTGTGGGGTGATGAGCAATTTCAATAGTATAAATAGGTCCTGTCGACATGGCAGGGAAGAGTAGTCGAAAAAGTTATTCAATCTCCTATACCGAGAACAACTCCTTCTATTCCCCGGCTACACGCGATCAAGCCATCATGTTACCCAGCCCGAACAAGCTGTGTCTGTTAACAGCAGCATTATTTGGACATGCCATTGCTCTACCAGCTACCGTAGATTATGACGGTGAGACCCTACCACACCAAACTTATACTATACCAATTCCACCAGGACCCAAAATATTTTAACCCAACTCAATTAGTTCTCCCTAGCACCGGCTCCGTCCTCAACCTCGACGTCGCAGCCAGTAACATCACCTATACAGTGCAAGGCAATGACACTATACACACCATAGCCGCCAAATACAACGTCGGCGCCTGCGACCTCGCCCGTCTGAACGTCCTCTCCGACCCGAACTTCCTATACGAGAACGAAACCCTCCGAATTCCCGCCCGCGCTACCTTCCCCGACGACTACTCCTGCTTCAGCACGAACAACACCGATGCAACAGCTACATGCATCTACGGCGGCCCTCACGTGTATACCATCTTACCCGGGGATACGATTCAGAAGATTGCGAACGAGCGATACAATATCACAACGGATTCAATCCTCAGCTTCACTGCGCAGACGGGCTACATTGCTGCTTTGAACCCCGGTATTTATGATGTGCTGGAGACCGGGCAGACGGTGAAGATCCCGAGTTGTGATAATTCGGCGTGCACGATGGCGGACTTTACGTTTACGTATGGCACGTTGCAGGATTTTGCCACGGCGTATAATGTTAGTGTGGGACAGATCATGTCGTTGAACTTGGGGTATAATCATACGGATTATATTGCGCCGTTGGGAGTTGTGTATGATTGTACTTTGTTGGATTGAGTGGGATATGGGGGCTTATGGTGTATGAACTGCCTAGGGCTATGAATGTTGCTTTGTTAGAAAAGCCTCAAGTTCGGAATGTTCCGGTCATATACGCGAGGTTTATTCACAGTCTTTTCACAAAGATCATTACCTCTTACTGCGGGTCAGAGTCCTCACGATGTTCAGTTTATATACATTGAAGATCGCTATGCGTCACAGCTCTTACCCGGTACGGACCATGAGATGAGGTGAATTATTCGATCATACCAATAAAAAGCTCTGCATGGGCCGGCTGATCCTGCCCACTCTGTTTCCGATCTCGGCATTCCTCTCCACGGAGCTGCACCAATTTCGTATCACGGTGCCTCCTAGCCTCCTTAATCAACGCAGCAGGGTTCCACATTGCCAGTGTCAGGCTAGCAATGAACATGACTAGTTCATCCAAAAATATTACATAGATCTCATGCGTGAAGAGATACCCCTCCCACCCATTCATCAGCTCCATGCTGCGGTAGATTCCCCGCGCTACCATGCACGTGCATGCGATCCTCAGGGAAGATGTAATCTTTCGCAGGGGTGGATTCCGTGAAATTTGATATATGGCACGTTAGATCACGTATTCGAGTAAGGTAGTAAAAACGCAGGTTGAGACGAGTTGCCAGATTATTCCTGTTACCATTGTGTAGGTTCCTGGCCAGTAGGAAGTGTGTGCGCCGAAAGCAGCACTAGTAATGCCACCGCCCACAGCTTGGAGAAGAAGACTCCAGAAGTCGACCGTCATGAAGATTACCAGGTATTGCTTTGGTGTAAGAGGGGATTTATCCTGGCCGATAATGAAAACGATCTGGCCGAGGACACCGTAGATGCCGGCTGTTGTGAAGGCGGGGGCTGTAGTGGTAGTGCGTTGGTCGCATCCAGTTTACCGAGACGAAATTCAAGGGATTAACAGACCCATTATCAGAGCAGCAAGCTGCATCTCCAGCAGCCTCACGGAGTATAGACAGCGCCAGGCTACTGTACGGGCGAGCCATCCGGTAAATTCCCCGAATGCACCTAGTGAGGAGGCCAACCCTAGCCAGAGGCTTTTATATTTAAGTCCTTGCCATACATGAACTGCAAAGAGGCCGGCGAAGAGAACCATGAATATGACACCTGCCACGATATAACCAAGAGACGTGACAATATCCGGGTCGTACGAAACGCATTGTGGCGTTGCCATGGCATCGGCAGGTCGTTAAGAAATTTGCTCGGATGGAAAAGTGGTGGCTCAACTGGTGGACGGAGGAAAGGTTCAGGATGGATGGAACGGAAGGGACCGAGGAGGCGATAGCAGGCCGTAAAAGGCCTGCTTCTACCCAGTCGCATGCTGGTCAAAGGAGTCTCAGGATTTCACTATTATTGGGCAGGATGCCACCGATTCCAGACAGCAGAATACATGCCCATGGCATGCATAGGTTGGTTCAAAATCAGCGAGCCCGACTGGGAGTAGCAGGGGTCCCCTGCTAGTCTGTATTATATTTAGTCTGGGTGGGGACGGACTGCGATACATCTATCATCTACCGCCATTCCTAGATAATATGTTGCTAGCAGTCACCAGGGCGCTAAGCGAAGGTCCACCCAAGATCAAATCATTCCCCGTATATACTTCTATGATAGTCGTCGTACGTGGTGTATTTGGTTGTTCAAAGCGGTATAAGCCGTGCGCCGCTTAAGTTTTATTGTACCTGTCATAACTTGGCGTGATCCTGTGGGACTGACATTGATATATGAGAAGACGTCCATCTAGTGACCTTATCATTGGAGGAAGACAGATGTTAGCGGCGAGCCACCTGGATCGACACCTAAGCTTTATTATACCACTAAATGTAAGCCTCACCTCATACTGGTCAGAGGCAGTGAATTTGGTGAGGACACTAATGCTTACGCCTGCGCCTGAGACTTACTAGAGGATCTGGTTAGTGTGCCATATTGAATCTACAAGTAAATGGCAGTGCCAAATGCCTGATCGGGTGGCAACATCTTTCCGCGACCATGGCAGTTTACTATTGTTTTCTGAGAACATGAATTCACCTAAGCCAGGAAATGGCAACCATATTTTCAGTAGGCACCCCGTAGAGTGTATGTTCTTTATCGTTCTTCACTAATGTCTCGCGTGGATGCCGAGGCCGACGACTCCTCTTCTCTGTACGTATTGGTTAGAAAATGCTGTAGGCTCGGGGAAGAACAAAATTATCCCAACGAACCACTCTCCGAGAAGAGTATCGAATGTGGTGTTGCTCATAGAACCAAAGTATAGCCGGAAATACCTCAAAGGGTACAGCCGACTTTGTCTCATTACCAGAATAGGAAAGGAATGTGATGACTTACGCCTCATTTTGAAAAAGTCCTTCCGGGGGGATACACTCGAACTGGCGAACATCAAAGTTTTCAGGAGTATGCTCCCACCTTATCACCTGAAGGACACTAACCGCCTCTCTAGCATTCCAATGATAATGAAGAGGGTTGTCGAGGGTTGCATACGCATATGGGATTATGTTCCCCATCATGGGCCGGTTATAAAACTTCACTTCATCACCATGCAGAATAATTCCCCAATAATTTATTGTTCCTGTGACCCATTGAGGCATCCTCATCCAGAAATCACGCAGCCAATGTTCTTTCCAAGCCATTTCCTCCGGAGACTGTTCGCCTTCCGAAGCAACAAAAACGAGGAACACACCAAACCCGCTGTTCCGCGAAACCAATATTATATCCGTAGAATCTATACCTTCGACCGTCGAGGACTTGAACCTAGCTTCAACAGAGAAGCCGTCGGGTCCCCGGAAGGTGTTTCGAAATCGGCTGATCCAGTATATAGTTCTCGGATTAGCTGGGAATATGGAACCCGAGGTGCAGAGAACATTGTTGGTAAACATGATGGTAGGAAAGCCAGCATCCAGCTAAGCCCGGTCAGGGAGATGAATGCTTGATAAGAATATAATTGCCGCATGCGTTCAGATGTGTCATTTATACTGTAGATCCAAGCAGAAATTCATATGCGGCTGCTATTGTCACTGGGGGTTTCCGTTATTACACTTTGGTTTTCGAATGCCATTTGGGACCGACCATGGCCTCTGTTGCTGTTAGAACGCTTCTCCCCGATAAGAATTGACTTTCTTAAGGAAGTCCCAAATCTGATCCATTTATGAAGGTAAATATGGCGTCTTAGAAGTTAGAGCCTATCTTAATGATAGAAATCCTCCGCATCCAGGTGTATCGTGGGGACATAATGCACTGCCTACAGCATAAACTCATACCAATAAAATGTGAGTTGGTGCGGCGGCGCCCCAGCTTGGCTCGAGGCTAGGATGATTCCGATCGAAAGTTTGCCAGTGGAAAGATGTGGCCCATCATTCCTCGCCCACATCCCAAATGTATTCACTAGTATGAAGCACGAGTTTTTCCTGTCTGATGTATAAGTAGTAGGAGTGGCTCGCATGCATTCCTGCTACCCCCGTTTTCCTCACGTTCCGTTATTGACACCTATATATATCGTCGAAGCAGTGTTCTAGGTACATCATATATATCGAAATGATCATAAGCAAAAATAAAGAAGGGAAGAATATAGATTTGGAGAAAATTAATTAGACGACAACCTTATGACTAGACTATAATACACAGGGCAAGCCATTAAGACCTACAGTAGTAGTAGTAGTAGTAGTAGTAGTAGTAGTAGTAGTAGTAATTATCCTCAAATTTAGCACAGCTATTGGCACTTTGTTGAGTCACTAATAGTTAGAAAGATCTTCTAACTAAGGCAGTCTCCTAGTACTCGCTAGTATTTTTCATCTTTGACTAGGTACAGGCGGTATATCATTTCATAAGATTTATAGAAGAATTACAATTTTATCTCTTATATTAGAGCCCGGTTCCTTAGCATTTTATGAGAAATTCCGGTCTATCAGCCTCTGTATATGATAAGTATAAAGGTCTGTAGAGAAGAACTGCATGGGGAAAAATCTTGAATATTCTTATTAAACTAACTAGAAATAAAAAGCATTATACTTCATGACCTCTCTTAATTTATATTACTAAATATATTCTTCCTGGTACTGGGCGGGTGTCTAGTCTCCTCTCTTTTACTAGTAGTTATAGCTGCAGGGGTTGAATCTACTACGCTGGCCTATCTAGCATAAGGAAACTCCTTTTCAGATGTTTCGTAACAGTATCATTCTGGGTGATTACCACCACACCACCTGGCCACCAAAAAAAAAAAATTATTGTGCATCATCCGTGAATCGAACACGGGCCTCATCGATGGCAACGATGAATTCTACCACTAGACCAATGATGCTTGAGCTGCGGACCATTGCGTTATCTGATTCGCTGCATCATTAAGACCCATAAATATGTATTCAAACAACTAGGTTTTCAAACCGATCGTTTTCGTACTTCTGGTCACGTGATTCGATTTTTTTCCAGCTAAAAGCAGTATGGGGAAACTTCCCGTCTTTCCCCGCATATTGGTTGCTGGTAATGAGTGGAAACGACTACCAGCTACTCTCCATCCCTCGGCACCCGCGAATGTATCCTCGATGAAGTCGCCGCGAGATACTTTTTCCTCAATTTAACTGGAGCCGGTACCGTGATGGTCAGGTTGGGTCATAGCCAGGTTGGACTTACTTCAGGGCCATCCTCTGGATTAGCCATATCACAGTCAATGGTATAGATACCGAAGCCGATGGGAGGCGCTATCCATAGCCGATCGTTAGTGCCATAACCGATAAGAATGTAGATCTACAACTTATCTTCTGGGGCTCAACTGCTACTATTTCTCATCAATTTACGGCTATAGTCCTATTGGTAAAGGGGTTAGAATTCATCAGTAGCCCGTATGAGCACGACTTCTCCGCGTAGTATCGGCAATGGATTGTTTCCCGCATAGTCTAGCTTCTCGACCTCGCCTGCCGGTATATAAAGGTGAACAACTTTTTTCATCAATCTTGCCCATCGTTAGCAATTCGCCAATTCTAACAACAAGCTTCACGTTTTTGTCTGTTTATCATTATTGCATCATTTTGCCTACCATGTCTACCACTTCTACCGTCACTCAGACTGTGCTTTGCTCTAGCCCAGACCTCAAGGTCATTAAAAATGGGTTCGGTGCCGAAATTACTGGCCTGGATTTCACTCACGGTGTCACTGATGAAGCGTTTCGCTTTATTGAGGATGCGGTAAAGAAGGTCGGTAGTAACTGGTAACAAAATCGTGCGGAACCATTCACTGAGAGTACTACAGTATGGCTTTGCCGTTGTCCGTGAGACAAACCTCGTCGACGAGACCCACCTCGAGCTGGCTCGCAAGTTTGGTGAACTTGACGATGTAACGCCCTACAATAAGGTGGGTCGTGTGCACCGTCTCAAATACAACGAGCTCTTTGACGTGGGTAACATCGAACTTGACGGCTCCATTGTGGACATAAACAGCCCGAGGGGCGAGGCGAATAAGGTATGTAGTTACTCTCCCATTCAGTGCCATACCGAGATAGAGAAAGACGAATAGAACTGACTGTCTCCAGGGTAACTCTCTGTTTCACACCGACTCTAGCTTCAACCCTCGCCGAGCCGGTTACTCTCTTCTACTTGCCCATGAGCTTCCGCCACCCGGGACTGGGGGCTCTACTGCCTTTGCCGACATGAGGGGCGCCTACCGTGATCTTGACGACGATTTCAAGCACTTTCTGCACGAAAGAAACTTCATTGCCCGTCATTCCATTCTACATTCCAAGAAGATGGCTGCTCCGGAGCATTTCAAAGATGTTAACCCTACAGATCATTTTATGTCCCGCCACTTACTACTGCAAGAGCACGAGTGCACCGGCATTCCCACTATTTACCTCGCCAAACATATCCACTCACTCGAAGGTGTCTCCCCGGAAGAATCTCAGAAGATCCTCGATAGGCTTTTCGAGCACTCCACTCAAGACAAGTACGTCATTGAAGTGGAATGGATGAATGTTGGTGATATGATTGTCTGGGATAATACATGTACGATGCACCGTGCCATCAGTGGCGAGTTCATGACCAAGTACAGGAGAGACATGCGGCGTGCTACTGTGCATGATGACAGCAGTTTAGCATGGGGCCTGAATCCCAAGAGCGATCAGCGGATGGGGCTCCCTTAAAGCGTCAACGTACTTTGTACCTAGATCAGGCCAATCACGCCATTGTCGCGACGAAATCATAGTGTAGCCAGCAACAATCAACCCCAAGCACCTGTAAATAGATATTCATGTTAATTCTCAGTGCGCAATCACCCTTACGTAGTGATAAGCAGTCTGCTTTGTTGTTGTCGCCACAATCCCGTAAGACACGGCTTCGGCAATGGTTATCGGCTATAGCCGAGATTCTCCACATCATCGCCCTCATACCTCTGAAAAGACCTCGATTCTAAAGATTTCTCGGAATCTTTACCTATTACCGATGCATAAAGGAATTCGGCAACCATGACTGCCAATACAGGTAAGAGGTCATCTCGTGCCTGCCTGCGATGCCGTAAGCGCAAGACCAGATGCGACCTGTAAGGATGCTCTTTACATCAACGACGACGCCTTCATCTGCCCAAGTAGCGGGCTAATATGGCTATAGTGATACCATCGGAGAACCAGGCAAAGCTCCCTGTGTCTTTTGCCATGATACTAAGAGCCAATGTGTCCTCATCAAGTCCAGGCGAGGGGGAAATTTTCGCCAGCATCAGCACAAGTCGGGCACTTCGCGACCGCAGAAGACTCCGCTGCCAACAAATTCCGGAGACTCGAACGGGCCTGACGTGGAACCGGCTAATAGCGGGTCTGATGTGACCGGAAGTTCTTCAGATAGTGAAGGCAGCGTTGGCAGACAGAATCCTGGAGATGTCCTAACTATGGAACTCCGGAATCCATCTGATGCGCTGCAGATACTAGCCATGTCTGGTCAGGTCCGGTCCGAAAGTCGGCTTCAAGCTCAGTTCACCAGCACGGCAAACTTAGAGGAACAATTGGACGCTGCAGCTCAAAGAGCAAGCGCGTCAGACACCAACCACTCTCAGGACTCTCAAGGCCACCAGAGGCCTCCGGCGACTATCTTTGATGACTACGAGTTGGTAAAGAGAGGCGTGTTGCGCCCGAGCCTAGTATTTGAGCTACTACATGAGTTAGCCACACTTCATGGAACCGCATCTGTGTCTACTGACGGAGACCAGGTATCACAATTATTATCATCCGTATTGTCCGATCGTCCCTTCTCATTTGCTGGTTTTATCAAGAATGAGCCAGATTCAACGGTCTGAATACTTTCTTCTCACAGCTATCCTCACCATTGCGTCGAGAGACAATCCCCACCATTCACTCACCCATCGTTATTGCTGGGATCACACCCAACGCCTCTTGGTTGATGTACTCCTGGCACACCCCTGGACCCAAACCCCAGCAACTGTCCAGGGACTGTTGCTTTTGGCGGAGTGGCTTCCCCATATTCAAGTTCAAGAAACCTCATTCGAATCCTCCAAAAATCTATTTAGCGAAGATAGAACAGCTTGGTCGCTTGTTGGGCTCGCAGTTCGGCAAGGCTATCTCCAGCGCCTCGACCAGGCCGCCTTTCGTAATTTTAGTCACAGTGGGTCAAAGCAACGAACAGAGCAAGACAGGATTGTCTGGGCATGTAAGTCTTTATATCTTTGACATTGGCTTTCAATGTATGTCCTGACATCAGTTCAGATATTTTTATTGCCGATCGTCAGATATCAGTCCGACTTGGGCAGTCATTCTGGTCCCGAGGCCCGTCTCTTGCCGCAAAATTCACCGCCGACGATTTCCCGAGTCTTCAGCCTCGTCCGGAGAACGACAATGAGGACTATGCATCATGGCTACAAGCCTCTATGGAGCTGATACAAATCTTGCATAATGCTCATGCAATTCTTTACTCGTCCAAAGACCGAACATTGGCAATGGTCTATGAAGGTGATTACGCCCGGTATCTTGATGACTTTCGAACTTCCGCAACCACGTGGCGCTCGGCATGGGGCAATTTAGCTGTGTCCGCTAAGATAAGGACAACTCTTCTTATCATGTACGAGTATATTTGCCTTTACACGAATGCCTTTTCCTTCCAGGCGGTCCTGACGAGGGCTTCTCGCCCACACGGATCATCCAACAAGGGACAGCAGAATGAGCGCCCATTTGCCGACATATTATCCAAAGGCATCATGGCATCCCCCGATGGTCGGTACATATCTGATGCTATCAGCGCAGCGATGAATCTGTTGGCTCTGATGAATAGTCTTGATCCGCAACATGTGCTATGCTACTTACCGTCTCGTTACTATTTGTAAGGCCTTTTACCATCCAGATTTACCTACTACTTACGCCTAGTGGCAGATATGGTGTCTATGCAGCAGTCCTACTGCACAAAGCAGACCGAGCAGGGGCGTTCCAATCCGAAGAACAGCACCAAGAGATTACCACCTTAGTCCAAAAATTCATATCTGCTCTTGAAAAGGGACCGTCGACCGAATCACACATCTGCCACAGTTACAGTCGGATGCTAAGGCAACTATGGAGCCGGCGAGAGAAGAAGAAAACTAAAGCTTCACGCAGCCAAGATAACATAGAGTTGAACCTTGGTGACCAGCACAATCTCTCAACACCCCCACAACCGTTTCTATTGGCTCAAGAGCCCGATAATCAGACATGCACCAATGGCACCTTGGGCGACGCCTGCATCTCACAACAGATAAGCCCTCTACCAATGGAAAATAATGTGGCAGAGTTTCCCTCTGTTGAGGGATATTTTCTTGGTTCGTTCATGCCTGGTATCGCTGACTTTAGCACTCCTAATTTCGATGAATACTTGGCCCAAGAATACTCCTTGATCGGTGGTGCAGATGGTCCCCAAAACTGGAACTCAGTAAATCCTAATGTGGATTCCCACATTCTTGATTTGTAGTACTACAATGACAACAGTACTTATAATCGTGGTTCGGGTTACTGCATCGTTTCGGGTTCAACGGAATTCCGACCACTTGCTCATTCATGTGGCCTTGCCTGTCCAACACACTTCATGTAGCTTGGATATTGCGCGTTATTGAAAGAAAGTGACAATTTTTCTTAAACTTTCAAGAGCTCGATCATGATAGGATAATTCGGCAAAGGTCCCACAAAGCTTCGCTCTCGCGATAAATGCTAGCCCCGCTTAGGATAGATAGCATCGGACACCCGCAGGAATCCCGGTTTTTTCCAGCTAGCCCTAAGCGGCCCATAACGCCATCACGTTTCGCGGGCCATGTGGCCTGAAAAGCTCTTACGCCCCCCATGTTTGGATGCCACTAGTCCGAGCTACCACGCTACCGCGCTACCTGTTTTAGCAGCAGATGAGAAGGCCAGTTTTACACTAAAATACCCCATTTGAGCTTCTTTCTATTTTCGCCCATATATCACCCAGTGGCCGAAGGTAGAGTGTAAAGAGTGATGAGTAAAATGCTTCTACGCACGACAGATGTCTTTGTTTTGCATACATGGGGGGATTTACTCACGGTTTAAATGGGATTGTCACCGCAGGAACATGGGGAGCGGGGATTTCTGCCGAGCCGTGGGTTAGTGTTGGTAGTATCCCGCTGTCTCAACCAGAGCGGGGTTGAATTCCCCGGCAATATCAAATGCCACACCGTCCAGTCAGATTATATTCCCTTATTATCTCTTCCTATCTTGTTTGATAAGAACCGGTATCAGAATCTTTCAGTCCGTTTATATCCGCCTCCTACTTCCTGTGGAAATTAACAGCTAGCAATGCGGTACCTCGCATACCTTGCTTGACCTACATATCCCTCTGAAGAACGCCACTAGCCTAAACTGATAAGCATACAAGCAAATCGGGTGCGTGTATCGAAAGGGTGTAGAACAAGTATCTAGCCATCCGTCCCATTGGCGGGATACCTCGCTTTTTCAGTTGATTGGCGCCGCCCTAATGCAAGCGGAATGCAAGCGATAGCGTCAGGTGCGTGTGTGTTATCTTGCACCAATATGGTGTGCTACAGCAAATCGTATTAGACACCTTCATGTGTCCAGAAGAGGAACAGGGGAGTTATTTTACATAAGAGCGCTCTCGGGAGAGTCCCAATTCTCAATGTTAGACATTATCACATCCTTCTGTATTCCCTCATGTATGATTAAAGCAGCCCACCACAGGGTCCACAGGGTACACAGAAGATGGCCGACTACAAAGATCCCATCTTCTTGAGCAGCAACTCTGATAAAGAGAAGGCGGATGCGACGGGTACCAAGATCGATGAGTCCGATCTGCAATCTCTCCTAGATCAATTGCGGCAGATCGTGGCTGAAAATGAACTTGACGTCAACTTCCCTGTTCAGATCATCGCTCAGGCGCGCGAGATCCTCGATGCTGATACCAAGCATATTGATCTCTCTCAGCTGCAGGAGGTTATTTCAGATATTGAAAAGCATCGTGACCTCATTGAGAATGACTCTCCCTATCCGGAGGTCCGCGCTGTGGTCGACCCAACTGATGACCCTGAAATCTCGGCCAATACTTTCCGAGCCTGGTTCCTGGGCATGATAGCTACCATCGTCTTCACGGGGGTCAACCAGTTCTTTACCCTGCGCTATCCCACTATTGTCATTTATTCCATTGTCGCTCAATTGCTGTCCTACCCCTGCGGGGTCTTCATGGCCAAAACCCTGCCTACGCGCCAGTGGAACCTGTTTGGCTGGAAGTTCAGTCTGAATCCCGGCCCCTTCAACCAGAAGGAACACATGCTCATCACTGTTATGTCCAATGTCTCCTTCGGCGGTACCAATGGCACAGCCTACGTGACGTACATCTTTCAGGTGCTGAAAGCCAAATCCTTCTATAACCTGACATCGCTGTACGATCAAGCCGGTTTCCAAATCCTCGTTACGCTATCCACACAACTACTGGGCTACGGCTGTGCCGGCGTGGTACGCCGCTTCCTAGTGTACCCACCGTCCATGATCTACCCCAAGTGCCTTTCAACCATCGCTTTGAACAAAGCCCTACACAGCGATGAAGGCCGCGAGCGGGTCCACGGCTGGAAGATCAGCCGATACCGCTTTTTCATGTACTGCTTCATAGGCATGTTCTTCTACTACTGGTTCCCAGGGTATATCTTTCAAGCCTTGTCGTACTTCAACTGGATCAACTGGATCGCCCCGGATAACGTCAAGCTAGCCATCATTTGTGGTACTATCACCGGGCTTGGCCTCAACCCCTTACCCACCTTCGATTGGAACATCATCTACGCACTCTACGACCCGATCATCTATCCCTTCTACGCATTGGCCAACATTGGTATCGGCACTATCCTGGGAGCCTTCTGCGTCATTGCCCCCGTTTACTTCAGCAACGTGTGGAAAACCGCTTACTTCCCCATTATCAGCAACGATGTTTTCGACGACACGGGCAACACGTACAATGTCACCCGCGTGCTGAACAGTAAGGGCGAATTTGACCTAGAAGGCTATGAAGGTTACAGTCAACCCTACCTGACGGCCGGGTACTCCGTCATGTTCTTTTTCTTCTTCGCCATGTACTTGGCAACTATCGTGCACGTCGCACTCTACAACCGGCGAGAGATCATGAAGGGATTCCGCACCATATGGAAATGGGGCAGTGCGCGAGAGGAGCACGAGGACGTCCACAATCGCTTGATGAAGCAATACAAGGAGGTCCCGGAGTGGTGGTACCTGGTTGTGCTGGCTGTCTCGTTCGTGTTCGGCTGCATCGGCGTCGCCAAGTACGACACCGGCATGCCCATCTGGGGTATCGTCTTCGCCATCATCCTCTGCCTCGTGCTGCAGATTCCATACGGCATGGTCTACGCCATAACCAACTCTGAGGTAACTAACAACGTTATTGCCGAGTTCATTGGAGGATACGCCATCACCGGCAAACCTGTCGCCAACCTCCTCTTCAAGGCATTCGGATATATCGCCTGTGCCCAGTCAGTCCAATTCGTGGCTGATCTGAAGCTGGGCCACTATATGAAGATTGCCCCGCGAGTGATGTTCGCAGCCCAGCTGGTAGCCACTATCGTCGGCGCATTTGTCTCCCTTGGAGTAAATGTCTGGGCCCTGGCCAACATCGAGGACGTGTGTTCCACCACCCAGCCGGACAAGTTCACCTGCGCCGGTAAGTGATTTTATTCCCCAAATTGATGTTTCCTCCCAAACCGTCCCACATTTCCATTTACTGAACACATACAATAGGCGCCCGAGACTTCTATACCTCCTCTGTAATCTGGGGCGCCATCGGCCCGCGGCGCCTCTTCGGCACAGGACAGATCTACAACCCGCTGCTATACGGCTTCCTCGTTGGCGCCCTCCTTCCCATCCCCTTTTACTTTATCACCAAATGGCGCCCGCGCTCCTTTCTCCGATATGTTTATATCCCGCTGGTGTTCTACGGAATCTGCGATATTTCGCCGTACAATGTCACGTACGCGTGGTGTCCGATGGTGGTGGGCTTCATCTTTAACTATTGGATCAAGAGACGGTGGCAGGCGTGGTGGGAGAAGTACGCGTATGTTTTCACGACTGCTATGTCTTGTGGAGTGGCTATCTCTGCCATTATTATCTTCTTTGCTGTCGAGTATAAGGAGGTCGATTTGAATTGGTGGGGGAATGAGGTTTCGTATGCGGGATGTGATAATGATGGGTGTACGTTGTTGGCGATTCCGGAGGGAGGGAAGATCTGAGGTTGGCTCTTTCTTTCTCTGAAGTCGTATGTGGGTTTTTTCTGTGTGTTTCCTCGATAGAGGAGATGTGTGTTTATGTAGAGGATGGTAGGAAGCAATAAGAGGAAGCTTGGTGATACATGCAGGGGCAAAGATCCGAAGCAAAAAAGGTCAAAAAAATGGGCGACACAATATTTCAGAGTCTAAGGCAAGGTCCTGATACGGATCGAACACGGAACCTCTCAACTAAGTGACATGAAAGACCCGACGCGAGTGATTAACCGTTAGACCACCCAGGTTTGCCCTGAGAGAGTGACACCGTGAAAGGATTATGAGTGGGCCTCCTTGTCTTGGGTCACCGCCTTGGGCAGGCTGCAGCTTGTTGATAGTGAATGGATTTGGGTCATGTGAGTCATTTTAGGAGTGCGTATGGTATCACTGCATGTATTAGTACCATATTCAGCTGTAGCAGACTACACGAGCTGGCTGTATTGTAATTGGTAAAGGGGAGAGGGCCTCTAGTAGATGCTAGCTATTGTATAGAACGTGATAAGAACATACAGATAAGGAGGGTGCGGATATTATATGACATCAGCAGTTTCTATCTACTTGTATTTATACTTCAGGTAGGATTCTAAGGTAGGCCATTGCAATCGAACACAATTTGTTAGATTTCGTCCTCGAGTAACTGCCAAGTTATTTAGCCTTTCGATCCGATAAACGGAAGGGACGGAACTGGACAATAATCTTGATTGAGGTTTCGCTATTTATACACTTTCTCCTCTCTAAGCCTCTCCAGCCGTTTCAACTTCCCTCGGAGATGCTCGATCTCGTCCTCCAGCTCCTCCCTCGAAGCCACCCAATACTTCAACTTCAATATCGCCGCAGAAATCAACAAAAACCCAATAGACACCAACGGAGACCACTGTCCCACTTGCTGCGGCGTCTCCTGTGATGGTCCATCTTCGTGGATATAATACTCAATCCACACTACAAAAGCAATGACCGTCAGCGGGCTCACAATGATGCTAAACACCAATGCACATAGGATTATAATATCGAGAAGAAGCCTCAGCCACGAGCCCAAGGCGTGTAAGGTAAAGAGACCCCCGGTAGGTCTCCACACAGAGAGCTTTTCCCTCGTTGAATCCATCAAATCGGTTCGATGAAGTTGAGACACATATATTGCGGAGCGGAAGTCCTTCCTTAACCCATTGAAGATGTTCTTCCTCTCGATCCAGATGCTGCGTACTTGAGCTGAGGGAAGACGTGATCGATACGGAAGGATCTTAAACAATAAGAGGAAGAAGTTCACGATAACAGTAAGGACTATGAGACTGTAGATGTAGCGTTTGGAATAGACGACTTCGTCCCAGAATTCGCTTCGTTGGTGAACGCGGTAGTCCCCCGTGGCGACAGTCGCCTCAAGAGTGGTCTGTTGGCGCAGAATCTGCGTCGTGTTGAAGCAGGGATAAAAGCAAACGCCTGGTAACTGATCGAACATGGTGCTGTTGCTGAATATTTCCCAGACACTGTTGTTCCAGGTTGAGGTGCGCTGCCATGCCTCCCATCCATCACTAGAGACGGTGCCCATGGGTGGAAGATCCGGGTAGCAAAAGGTGTATTGGATAGGGGTGTCGCGGAGAGTAGGCCAATATATCAGGGCACAGATAGACCCTGCAAGCATGAGAACGTGCCATAAGCCGAAAAGGATATAACGAGCTCTTTCATGGGAGAAAGCACGCGACCAGCATTGAAGAGGAAGGAAGGTGAGGTAAGCTGTTACTACTATGGCGAGAACGGCGTCGGCATCCAGCTCAAGTGCAGCTGGACTCAGTTCGATTTGATCGGCCTCGGTGATCAGCGATGGGAAGCTGTTCCATAGCGAGGTGTTATCGGAGACTAAGGGGATTGTTATGAGCTCGTAGGGATTGTGTTTCGCCGGATTGGAAACGAGAATGAAGGCTTGGATGGCGGCGGTTCCGGCATATGTTGCTGCTGCACCCAGGAAGACATCTGCGAGCCAGCCGGTCCAGCGAGTGACACAAGTGGCTAGAAGGAGGGCATAGAAGAGATAGCGCGGACACGAGTCGTAGAAGGTGCTGATGGGGTAGGCGCAGATAACCTCTTCCACTACGAAGAGAGGCGTCTCGCTTGTCTGGTTCATTCCAATGTGGCTGGTTGCATCCTCGCCAGGTATCAGTGTGTAAAATGTTTCCTTCGCACTGCCAGGAGCTGGCGGATTTCACCGATCCTCCCAGGGGGTGAATCTCGAAGAACAATTAAGGTTCATGGTTGAATCTTAGACCAAGTGGAGACCTCGTGATGTCATCACAACCGGCAGAACTTCAACCAGCCCTATCACGGAGACTATGCAGGCAGAAGCTCCTAAACCAAGTTGAAGACATTCAATTTCTGCTACTACGCGCAGAATTCGAAGCCATCCGACCGATTGTCCTTGTCTTATGAGGGTGTTCGTAACAAGTACCGCCGAATAAATTTGACCAGACTCACTGTAATTGGAGCGTCCGTAAGCAGAGCCACTATAGCGGGATCATCTAACAGTGGAGGAATATTTTACACATGCTAAATTTTTTGCTATTAAATACCTTGAAACTCGTATATAAATAAAAAGGTGTGAAAGTAGCGGCATACGAATCCGTGATTACTGATCTAACTTGCCCAAAGTTGGCCAGTCCTCCAATTCAGTGCCACAAATTGTAGTGCACTTCTTTCTATTCACCATTCTCACACCACGAAGAGGTGAAAGATAGAGAGAAGGGGGTAGTTATTAAAGAAAATAAATGAGAAAGAAAAATATCTCAAAAAAGAAAAGTACAAGGCCCGAGCCGCGGATCGAACGCGGGACCTCTCGCAGATATGCTTGGGTTTGTATCCCTAAGCGAGAATCATACCACTAGACCACCCGGGCTTGTTATGAGTGAATTTCTGAACAATGAAAAAATAAGCCTCACCAATACCTTCAGTAAATCAATCACCAAGTTAGGTCTGCGTTATGTTTGAAGGATAATGAAACTATAGGGGAACAGCTACAGAATGCGCCTTGCTAGACAATTGAAGGTATGTTCATCGACAACATTCTCGCTATCACCCGTATTTTGCGTACGTTTGGGGTTCACTCTGACCTTCTATAATGATATAGTATATATATGTAACTAAAGGTATTCCCAATCTTCTAGGTCCATACAGCTCACAGAGGATTAGAAAATCGTGGCCCTGCGAGCATTACGAGCGTAGCTTTAGGCACGATGAGTTAGGTAAACGGGGCCTGAGTCGCAAATGGATATGAACAACATCCCATCACAGGGGAGCATATGCATTCAAGAGGCCGCAGTAGGCGGAAAGGGAATCCGCAGCGGAAAATGCCCGATCACCTGGGAAATCATCAGATCTCCCAACTTACCAAGATAAGCTCCTCACAAACCGTCACATGACCTTATAATGTATATATCGGAACGCGAAAGACAGGGGGCAGCACTTACACGACCCTCCGTTAGTATTCGACGGGCAAAGCCAGCATTTGCCGAACTGACATGCTTATATTTATGTATACATATATACATAGTATATATTTGGCTGCCCACTTTCATCGGCATTCCTTAATACAGATGGACGAAGCAGAGATGGAGATCCCAGTCGACAACGCACGACCTCACGTTGTCGCGAAGAGACCAACTCCGGAAGGGCCAAATGCTCCCCCCGATGTCAAAAGAAGTAGAAGCTCTGATGACGGGGAGGCACCGGCGATCAGAAGCATTTTCGCGGCCACCCGGATTGTTCCTTTCCAAGAAAAAGTATGCTCGGATTTATGAAAATGTGTTGAAGCCATCTGACCATCTTGAAGCCCGCAGATGTAGAAGAACAGAATAATAAGATAGAGTTTCAGGTTCTTAATAATGATAATTCCACGGAGAGTATTATCATTTTAAAAGGTCTCAAAAGCCTGTTCCGAAAGCAATTACTGAAGATATATAAATCACTTTCCAAGAGATTCGACATGGCAGAATTGCCAAAATTATGTTCTGTGCTGTTTTATCAGACCATCTGGTAAAGGAATATGGAGCTCATCTCATGGCCCACCTCGGGGACTAAATTTAAGTATATAAACAAGCTTGGCCCTTCTTTTCTCCAGTCATCAAAGATAAAGTCCCAGATTATTACAAGGTCATTGAATCTCCAATGGACCTATCGCCAATGAAAGAAAGGTTAGAGTATAGTTTATATTCTCACTCAAAAGCCCAGGTCGACGATCTCAAGTTGATCTTTTGTAATTCTCAGCAGTATAATAATATAACAACGGTCTATGCCAAGTCTGCGTCCACACTGGAGAAATACTTGTATTCTCTGATTAAAGAGATACCGGGATGGTTTGACTTACTGGAAGATAAATATCTGCGCCCTAACTGTTCCCCTACATGTCAGCCTACTGCTAAGTGATTGAAGAAGAGTTTTGTAAAGTCCGGTTGGTATTTGCATTACTGAGTATAGGGCGGTACTGGCCATGAACTTGACAAGGCCAAAAATCTGTAGAAGATATAAAAACATACAACAGAAGGGATTCGCTGGTGGTCACCCACCCAACTACTAACCTCCCGGCGTGTGGCTTAAGTACGGCTGAGCGGACGGGAAGCCCTGTTTTCCACACCCTGTGGTCGTATGT